GACATGATAATAAGGGGAGTCTAGTAACCATAATGTTGCTTATGTAATTGTACATTGATGATCCCAAAATAAAAAAAGAAAAATAATAAAAAAGAAAAGAGCTATTACGCCACAAAACATAATCCAAAATACATATTGCTAAATGAACGAAGACAATCTGAAAAGCCTACATACTCTATGGTTTCCAACTATATGACATTCTGGAAAAGGCAAAATTACAGATATATTAAAAATGGATTGCTAGAGATTCAGGGGCGAGAGTAGAGTGGAGAGTGAAGCACATGGTATTTTTAGGGTGTTAAAAAAAATCGGTATGACACTTTAATGGTGGATACATTATACTAGATTTCATTATTGTATTTACATTATTACATATTATATTATTATATATTAATGTATATTATCATACATTATATATATATTTGTTCAAATCCCATAGAATATACAAAAAAAGTGAACCCTAATGTAAGCTATGGCCTTTAGTTAATAGTGATGTATCAATACTGGCTCATCAATCATAACATACGTACTACATTAATGGAGTATGTTAATAACAGGGAAAATTGACAGGAGATGGAGAGTTGAGGGAATATATGGGAACTCTGTACCTTCTGCTCAACTTTTCTGCAAACCTAAAACTGACCAAAGTAGTAAAAAGAAAAAATGTTAAAGAAAAAAACTGTCTCTATATGGCATAAAAAAAAAATCCAAAATGAGGTATCACTTAATACCCACTAGTTTGATCAGAATTTTAAAAAATGAAAAGTAACAAATGTTGGTAAAACTGTGGAGACTGGAACCCTCATACATTGCTAATGGGAATGAAAATGGTGTAGCCACTGTGCAAAACTGTTTGGTGGTTCCTCAAAAAATTAAATACAGAATTACCATATGACCCAGCAATTCCACTCCTGGGTATAGACTCAAAAATATGTGAAAACAGATATTCAAACAAATACTTGTACTTCCCATATTCACAATAGCTAAAAGGTGGAAATAACTGATATATCCATCAGCTGAGGAATGAATAAATGATACATCTGTACAATTGAATATTATTCAGACATAAAAATGAAGTACTGATAGATGCTACAACATGGATGAACCTCAACAACTTCATGCTAAATGAAAGAAGCCAGACAGAAAAGGTCACATACTGTATGGTTCCATTTACAGAAAAAATCCAGAACAGGTGAATGCAGCAATAGAAAGCATATTAGTGGTTGCCTGGGGATGGGAGGAAGGAGGTATGGGGAGTAATGGACATGGGGTCTCCCTCTGGGGTGATGAAAATGTCTTGGACTAGACAAAGTTGATGGTTGCACAACACTGCTAATATACTAAATGATACCGAATTGTACAAAATGGTTAATTTTATGTTATGTGAATTTTATCCCTTTTTTTTTTAAAGCCACTGAGGGAAAAAAAATTTAAAGAAAATATATTTTCTAATTAACAAGAAGCATACCTCATTCAATAGTTATGAAGAAGAAAAACTAGAAAAGGAGACAAGAAATTAGAAAGAAGGAAGAGGAGAAAATGAATAAAGAAAAAGGAGAGAAAAAAATAAAGCCTGAGAGAGGGGTAAAAAAAAATCTCAAGCACATATCACAGAAAGAGCAAAAGATTACTTAGTTTACACTAAGTAAACTACATTTATTCAACAATTTTAATCCATAATTAAATATCAGGAATTTCCTTGAATCTCTTGTGGAACAAAGGGGAATAAAAATATTAATTCAAACACTGTTCATTTGGGCAATGAATTTTATAACATTAAGAAAACTCCCTGCTAATGAGCATGTTAGCTGCTTCTTATACTTAAATCTTTGATAACTACCATTGGTTCCCACCCTTTCCCCTTCAATGCAGTTTCCTCATAAGGGGCTCTGTCAGCTCTCAAGGCTCTGTTACAGCCACATTGAGAGGAGTTCAGTAAGATCTAGACAGGTACAATCCTACACTTACTGTGCTTCTGCTAGGAGGGCTCCTAGATGAAAAGCTAAGAGGAGTAAGGGGATGATGTGGGGAAAGGAGGCAAGGGTATGGCTACTGAGGGCTAGTTGAAGACATTAAAGGAAAGAGGTAAAGAAGCCTCATTTTCCTTCTAGAAATGAGTAACCCAGTTGAATAGGACAGGGAAGGAAAGTAAGATAAGACTGAGAGCAGAAGCCTTGGTCAAACACAGAGTGGTATTTGGCTGGAACATGAGCATTCCCCTAGGAATTTAAGAGCAGTGGGTGGGAGTGGATGAACTACAGATCCCTGAAATGAGGGATCCCTAACAATTTACCTGTGAAAGTAACAATAACAAAAGGAGTCTGAGGTTGGAAGGCAGGAAACAATATTCTTTGAGTTAGTGTTCAGATGAAATCTAATTCCAGGAGCTGATGCTATCAAAATCTGTATTTCTAAGACACTGCCTATAAAACTTCCCCTGTCCACAAGATTTCTTACCGTATATACTGCCAATAAAGCCAGCTGGTTGTAGGGGCGCCCATTCTTGGGAGCAATGTGCTGGGCCTTCAGGTACCAACTGGAATAGAAAAACAGTAAACAAACAAACAAACCAATGAACAAAACACTAGCTCCATATCAACTCTTTCCCATTTCATCACCTGGTAGCTCTACTACCTAAGAGAAAAGCTGGAGTGTTAGGTGCAATCGTGGAGTGGTAAAGCCTAACTACAGAGACCAACATGGGATACCTGTAGGACATCTAGATGGCAGGCAGCACAAGTGGCTCACTGCTCTTTACAGAGCTTAGCTTGAAGCCACACAGAGAAAAGAAGCAATGAACGAGAGGCCAAAGTACCTGCGAGCTTTGCCGTAGTTTGTTGTGTCATTGGCTTGCTCCCGATACCTAGCAATATCTCCTTGGCAAATCATACATCGCTGGGCACTGATCAAAGCATATTTTACCTTTAAGAGAAAGATCAGTTAGTAGCATACCCAAGAATATTTAACTTAAACCCCAAAGGACAGGGATGGGGTCAAAATAAGGGAGCAACATTAACAAAGCATTAGTAGTTTTCAACAAAATTAAAAGTTTTGAGTCTAACCCTGACTAGCAAAAACTCGCAATAATGTGATACACAATTTACTGAGGAAAAATGGCAGAAGGGAGGGGGGTCATTCTTACTGTGAATCCCAGGCAAATAGAAGAAAATATGAAACTAAGAGTCAGGAGACCTGACTCCCCATTTCAGAGTTGTGTGATCCCAAACTGGGACTCTTCAGGACTCAGTTTCTTCATATGAATGTAAAAATACCTATTGCATAGGGTAACTGGAGGTATAAAGTATAAAAATACTTAACAAATTATGAAGTGATATATAAATATTAAGGTAATCGTTTACTTTTGCCATCATTATAGTCTTTCTCTCCTTAAACTTAAATCACTGCGTTGTGTTTCTGCATTACATTCCCTTTGCAAAACAATAACAATTCTCTAAAACAACAACAGTTACCTTGTACCAAACACCTACAATGTGCCAGGGAATACTGAGCTCTCAGGAAGACTCATTCACTAGCTAAGTAACTAGCTACTGCATGTATATCAGCCTCCAAACATAATTCAAATGTGTGCCTCAACAAAATTATGTATGACTACATGTTGTATACCTTCAGAATCTGAACTATTCCACACATTCTATGAATGAACACCAAGAACCCTTGGTATCACCTGATAAAACACAAAGAAAACTGGTTGTTTCATACTACAGCACTTTGGCATCCCTGTAAGGGGAAGAAAAAACCCAAGTTCTGCCCAAGGCTCTCCACTATCCTTAAAATGAAGTCCTAGATGGTCAAGCCTCTGCTCACCTCTTAAGCACCACTGCCCCCTTCTCTCTGTGCCTCAGGCAGACCAGACTTTTCTGTTCCCTAACACACCATGCCTTTTCCCACTCCAGAACCTTCACATATACTGTTCCCTCTCCTAGAGCATCATAGTTTCCGCATCTTCATGTACACTTTCACTTGGCTAGTGTCTCAGGTCTTCAGCCCCAGCTTAACTGTGACTTAGTCTTCCATATAACCCCATAACACCCACTGTAGAAGTCACTGCATCTGTAATTACTAACCCAAAATCTGCACTTACCTCTGAACTCGACTCTGAGAGCTTTGGAGTTAGTGAGAGCTGGGATGAATGGCTTTCTTTTGCCACAATGAATTACGTGAGCCTATAATGGCACCTGGCATGTAGGAGGGACTCAATAAATAATACCTACTGATTAGTAATAGAGCTTGGGCATTCATCAAAAGGAGTAGAAAGGCAAAAGGAAGTTTCTGCTCCATAAACGACATTGCTTTCTCCAATGAATCTTTAACCTTTTCCTTTCCCTTGGTTCTTTCCTCTGAACATATAATGCTCAAGTCTCTCCAAGCTTAAAAACAAACTAACTTCTCTTGACACTATGTTTTTTTTTAATGCTATCTTCCCTCCTTGCCTTTTCAGGGGCAAAATTCTTAAAAGAATGATCTATATTACTCTCCCATTATCTACTGCTCCACTTCTCATTCACTATAATCTGGCTTCCATCCTCTCTAGCCAAAAATAACTTGTGAGAAGGTCATCCAATCCAATGAGTACATTTAATAACCTTAACATTTGATGGCTCTATAGCACTTGACAATTTTACCCACCACAACCTTGAAATTTGATCCCCAGCCTCCTCTGGTCAGCCTGCCAGTACCCCAGTATCTCAACTTCTGCTTCAAGTATCACCTAATAATTGACGATTCCTGAATCTCTATTATAAGCCCAGCTCTTTCTCCTGACTTTCAGACAGACCAGAATATTCACTTGTTAATTTTCAAGTGCCTTCACCTAAGCATATCCAAAACTGAACAAACCTCTTCCTCCCCAGTAGTTCTTCCTAGGCTACAAACTAGGTGATGATCTCAACTTCTCATGCTTCCAAACTGATTATTCACATCAAATCAACCAGCAATTCAATTCTATTTCCCTTTTATCTTTCCAATCTGTCTCCTATTTTCCACCTCCAGTAACTCTACTTCAGTTCAGGCCTACAACCTGATTCTCCTACCTCCATTCTTGCCCAAACTCATCCATTTGCCAGAGTGACTAATTCGAAGAACAAATCTATGCTACCCATTTACTGAAAATCAACTAACAGCTCCTCACTGCTTTCAGAATAAAGTTCAAACTCTTCAGCATAGCATGCAGAAATTTATGATCTTTCCCTTCATACTTTATCAGCTCTACCTCCTACAAATGCCCAACTCCACATTACAGACACCAGTGTACTGAACTTCTTAAACTTTTCCAACAAGGCCTTGTTCTCTTTCTCTAGGCCCTATATCAAAATTTCCCCTCCCACTTTTAGTCATGTTTCAAGACAACCTGACAGTCTCTGAGAAGCCTTCCTTGACCCCACCAGCCTAAATTAGAGCCACTTCCTTCTATGACCCTTCAACATTTTATATATACAACTACCATGGTTCTTAGGACGTTATAATTATAGTGTTTTAATTGGTCTGTTCCTACTCTTGTATCCTCAACACCCAGCACAGTGCCCAACACATAACTAACACTAGACAAATGCTTACCAAATGAATAAATTTAGGATAAAAAAGCTGGCTTACTGTCTTGCGTAATGGTTTGCTGCGAATGGCAAGACCGTCCATGTAGTCCTCCAGTTTGAACTTGTAAGTAACCTCCAGCTTCTGAAGCAAACTATCAAAGAAGTCACTACCCTAAAGACAAAAAATAAGAAACAGCTGATCAGCCTGTTCTGATCCAATCTACCTGCCAGAAACTGGGACAAGTGACCTTTTCACAGTTCTGCGAATGCTCGACTGCCCAATATAAAGAGATGCATATACAGCATTTGTCAGCCACCAATTAAGCAGAAGATGAATTCATAGCATAAGCCTTTCCATGGTTTTAAAGATATGAACATACACGCACTCTCTCTCTTCCTCCCAACCAACCCTCCCCTCCAAGACATTCAGCAAGCTTCCAAATTCAGAACTAAATCTAATTGCCAGTAAATTATGGTCCCAAGGAAGCAAGAGGAGCACAGGAGGCCTAAACCCATGAAAAGAACATACAGTTTTTTGTCCATGTTCTCATTTACAACATAGTAGTTATGTGGTAAAAACCCACTGAAACTACAGGATGCCAAAGCCTTTATCCTGAGGACAAAAAGATGATACTTTACCTCATCTAGGAGCTCCAAAAGTCTGTTCCGAATCTGTTCTGGGTTCTCAACATTCGGATCCTTGAGAAGCTGCCTGAACTTCTCAATAACCTGATAGAAAGCATTCTTCCACAGGATCTGATCCACACTCTGATTATCAGAGAACTCAATATCTAATAGAATACAGCGCTCATACAGTTGCAGAAGTTCAGCTCTGGAATAAAATACATGCAACTTCTAGCTCCAAATACATCATAGGAAAGGCTAGACACAAGATTCAAGCTTCCTGCAAATTAAACACCTTCCTTGGCAGGAAACCCAAAATGCCACCAGGTACAACACTGACTCTAGTTTCCATTCTGCATAGCAGAATGTCATTCTAAAGAGTTATGTCTAGGAAAGTAGTTTTTCTCCATATGCCTCCACCTAAATTTAACAGCTGAAATAAGATCTTCACAAGTTATATGCTGTTCATTTACTACCATTCTGGAAAGTCTTTCCTTTTCCATTTCCAGATTCCAAGCTCTCTTAAAGATAATTTTTTTTAAAGAAAATGTAGGAAGGATAATCATTTTTAGGATCAAAACAAAATTTTCTCTATTATTCCTTTTTCCAACTTCCCCTTCCTTGCTAAAATTTATGTGAAAAGGAGATAAAGTAGCTTGCCTAAATGGTTTCTACCTTCCTCAGCCATGAGAGTCTATACGCCTCCAGCTTATCCCCATTTCCTTCTGACCAGGATAAACACACCATACCTGAGCTGAGCCATCTTCTCCAGGCCCTCCGGACTGATGCGGTCCCTGGAAAGCAGGTTGCTGAGCTGTAGTTCCTGGTTGTCAGCCACCCGGAGAAGCCTGTGTAGCTCCTGTTGCTGCATGTTTCTCATGTGCTGCTCCATCTCCTCAGGGCTCACAGTGCTGGCAGGGATAGGGCTACAAATATACTGTCCTGATGGAGTTGGGTAGCCTGGGTAGTAAGGGCCAGGGTACACACCATTCGTAGGGCCCACTGGATACTGCAGGGGGCTATAGCCTGTATAAGGATACTGGGAGGCGGGGCCTGGTGCCCGGGGGTAATAATAAGGGTTGTCAGAGTTTTGAAACTTATAGTAAGATGCTTGGGCCTGACGTGACTCACCCCAAGATGTAGGACTGACTTCATCATCAGTGTCCAAGAAATGTAGCTGGGGTGTCTGGCTCTTTAGAGCCGGTTTCTGATCAGGATTGTTTGGGTCCCACAACCGGCGAGTGGTACCTCCTCGGCCCCAACTCCGAGATCCCTTACTACCAGATCCAAATAAAAGCCGAGGTCCCAAGGGTGTACACTCTGAAGAGCCAGAATTGACAGATAGGGTGGTATGGGCAGGGAGAATCAGTATGCCACGGCCCTGACCCCGAAGTTCCTGTTTCAGGTTTTTGGACTCCTGCTTCTCAGAACCTTTGCCCTGACTGCTCAAGCCTTTGTCAGGCTTTATCCTATCCCCATCCTCCTCTGCTGACCTCACCATAGGGGAAACTTTGTTCATGGTTTCTGCATCGAAAGTGACATGAAGGGTGCCTCGATTTTCTTTACCATTGCTTTTCTGCTGTCCCTCCCCACGGCCAGATGAGCTTCTTTCTAAATGTTTCTTCCTTTCTGAGCTCCTCCTGGACCCATCAGGTTCATCGATTCTGTCCTCATCTAAGGAGTCCGTTGAGGACATAGAAACTTGCTTCTTCAGTCGCGGCCTCTCCTTGGTCCGATCCTGTCGTCGGCGACGACACCCATTATCAGTCAGGCCAGCCCCCTCGGCACTGTTGTTGCTACCAGCTGAGCTGGTACTGCAAGTGCGATAGCGGTTCCTTCGTTTGTCTGAGCGGGAGTAGCGCTTTGCAGAACCCAGCTTCCCCTGTGCCAGGTCTTCACTCACTTTCTTCATCCCCTCCCCTTTTTCGTTCCTCTTTCCTTTTTCTCCCTTTACAGCCCTTACTCTGTCACCATTTAGGCTCTTTTCTACCTCATCTTTGGCCATTTTATTCACAACCTCCTCTTTCACATTTCCCCTATTCTCATTTTCCTCTACTCTCAGTTGTTCCACCTGGTTGAGCATTTCTTCTTCATCCACCCGGCTAGTTGATTCTTTGGTAACAGTCTGCAAGCGCCTTCCAGGCTGATAGATCTGCATGTCAGGTTTCTTTGTTCTCTTGATAATTCTTAGACTTCGATCCTCTTGTCCAGCAGTCCTAGGAAAGGATTCCTGTGCCAGAATATTTTCTGAGTCTACAGGACCATTTTGCTGTTGGTTGTCCACTTCCTTGCACACATCTTTAATGAGTTGTGTACCATTTCCAACAGCAGAAGAATCTCTGTCATTAATATCATCCTTAAATTCGTCACTCCCAGAGGGTTCCTTGATTTTAGATTTGTTCCTTAGTCGAGAAAGACCGGGCTTATAGATTTCCAGATCGGGGCGCCTGTTATCCTTGCGCTGCCTAGGCTCCTTCATGTTTTCTGCGATGTTGGAGAGTGTGTTGGGGAGGAAAGGATAGAAGAAAAGGACAAAGGATGAAGGAAGGAAAAAAAAATGTCATTCTAGTTATAAGTAACAGAAAAGTCAAACAAGAATTATACATTAAAATGTTAACATTGGTGGACAAGGAAGGAAATTTCTACAGAAGCAGAAATTCTGTTTGTAATATTTGTTCAGCAACCAGCAAGGCTAAGAATGTAACTGTATTGGGACTACCTACACCCAAGTTTGGGAAATGGAGAAAAAACATACTCTCTTGTGTTACCCAAGTCATATTCAGATCCCCAAAACCCCAAATACTTCATCACTGTTAAAATAAAAAATACCTGACCATGTCAACATTAGACTGTTCTTTGCTATACAGCCTTTGGAGCCATCTTAGTCCTTTCTTCTTCAGCCTGTAATATTTTTCCAGTGTGGCTAAGTCCTTGGGGGAGAGGGATATGCATAAGAATCCATAATTCTGAACATCTCTGAAGAAAAAATTTGCAACTCTAGTCTCTGAACTTGGCCAGGACAATCCTCTTCTTTAGGATACTAATTACCCAATCACATACCTCCTGCTGCAGCAAACAGGAACTAGTCTCCTTTATATTCAACTCCACTGATGCTCACCAAGTCTCTAACAGCAGCCAGCAGAGCCATTCCAAGGAAATACTGCTCAGACTATCATCATTAGAATACTGGGACTAACTGCTACTATGATGATGGAATATGAAAAGGAAAAGTTCCATAAGGGAGCTTTCCCTGGAGGATGATCAAAGTACTGTGACATGCTCTCAACGTACCAAGGACAGGGGCAGTCAAGAATAAGATACAGGGCTTCAGAAACCACTTTCCAGGCTCCAGGAACTTACAAAATGACAGATAAGCAAGTATCTGTCTTTTGTATTTTACCTTCTATTAAAGGGGAGAGGCTAATACAGATAGCCACTAAACTTTTCAGTGGGAAAGTAACAGAAATTAGTGAGATTACAGAGTACTCAACAGAATGCTACATCAATTATACTTCAATAAAATTTTTTAAAAAAACATAGAATGTTAACTAAAATCCTAGTACTATTCTATAAACACCAATGCAAACAAACCCCTAACAGGGTCATATGCTCCAGCATTTACACACGAGTGCATCAAAACAGAAAAAAAAAAACCCTGAATTTTAAACACTACTTCAGTATTTTCAGAAGCTTAAAAGACTGCTTCATCAAGTATGAACAAAGGGAAAGCAGTTTGACTCCAGAAAAGCCCACCCTCAGCAGCCTTTGTAATTTAGGTGAAGGGGAGGGAGGAGGGAGGAGGGAGGAGACCACTACTTTCCAGAGCAGAGGGAGAAAAAACCTGAATAACCCAATTCAGTTGACCGACGAAAACCAATTTCACAGACTTTGGCCTCAAGCCTGCAGGAACATAGCTACCATTCTACACAACTCCACTGTCTAACAAAGAAAAGGTGAGGCTCTAGACTCTTCCTTGGAGCTTTCCTGGTGTGGCTGAAGACTTTTAACTTTTCAGAGGAAGGTTCTCGCTGATAAAAACAGCTCCTACACACAGCCAAGGCCAAACCAGAGCAGAGTCAGTTCTCCGAGGTCCTGGATCCCGCCGGTGGCACAGCCTTCAGAAGCCTGCCTTGGGGGAAAAGTTCAGCAAGGAAGTCCCAAGCTGTTAAACCTTTCTCCTCAGTTTCCCCAGTTCCTTCTCTCTAAAGCTGAAGAAATGAGGGGCAGGCTTACGGGAAGATTCCTCTGGGAACGACACTGTCCGGGGGCCCCCACCAGACCCCAGCGCCCACTCCTTTCCGCGTCTCTCAATGGCTAGGAGTCCACGGGCTGGTCTGAGAGCGGGGGGAAGGGGGGACACCACCTTCGGGGTTGAGGAAGGGGGCGGAGGTAGGAACTCGGGATGCGCTCCCCAGAAAGAGGAAGAGCGGGCTGAGGCCGACCCTCGGGCCGGTAGGGCGACGAGGGTACAGCCCGCGGCCCCCGCCCCCACTGTTGGGGGAAGGGGCGGGGGCTCCGGAGCGCCGCGCACTGAGCGGGAGGAGGCAGAGGAGGAGAGGGAGGCGGGGCGGGCAGGCCCAGCCCAGGAGCTGGGCGGCGCGACTCACCTCTGCTCCCGGCCTGCGGAGCCAGAGTGGCCAGGATCCCTCGCAGCTCCGACGCGGAGATCCGGACACGCTCCAACCCATCCGCCATCTTCGCGGCTGCTACTACAGCTGCAGCTACGCCGCCACCGCCGCGCGCAGCCAGGAAACCACGACGGACGGGCGGTGCGCGCGCTCACCCACCTCCCACCCTTTCCCCGCCTCTCCCCCTCCGCCCGCCTACCCCAAACGACGGTGGCCGCACTGGGAGGAAAAGCGCTGAACGCACTTTGGCCGCTCCCGAAGCGAAGAGCCCCAGCTCGAGCCTGGCTGGGAAGGCGTGCGCCGCGCGTGCGCAGAGGCGTGTCCGGGGAAGGTGAGCAGAGGCTGGAGTTGGAGGCGCGGAGCGGTGAGGTGAGGTGAGGTGAGGCCTGGCTAGGCGAAGCCAGGCCAGGCGGGCGTTCGCGGCCGTGGCTATTGCTGCTTCTGTGGTGACCATCGAGGACACCGCTGCTTGTCTGGGGCTTGGGTTGACGTAGGCACCCACAAGTCGGCCTCCTCCGGTCATCGTAGGCCGGGATCTCAAGACCCGGACTAGTGCCTCAGGCTTTTACTTTGGGACGTTAAAGATTTTGTTGTTACTATCCCCATTTTTCTTTTTTCTTTTCCTTTTTTTTAAGATGAGGAAACGGAATCCCAGAGAACCGTAGCAAATTGCCCAGGGTGACACACTTGATAAATACCAGAAGTCTTTTTCTTTATGGCAAACTATATCCCCAAGTATCCTGGCCTTGGAAGAAAAAAAAAAAAAACAGTATGTTTGGCTCTTGCTGAGAGAAGGGGTTGTATGGAAATAGATCAGGAGATATTAGAAATTGATTTGGGAATGTCTATCACTGTGGATTCTTGGAAAAAATATTTGACTTCCCTAGGTCTCAGGTTGGTTTTTCTTTTTTTTTCCCCATCTTTAAATGTAACTGGATCAGAAGACTGACACTTTAATTTCTTGTTCATGATTCCCTGTTAGAACTGTGATGAAACAGAAAAGGCTGTTTCCCTCCACCTGTTGCTCCTTCCCAACCCCACGTAGTCTATTGGACCTCTACACCATCAAAGAATAGTTACCAATTATTTCAGACTGAGCCTAAAAGACATGAACAACATGACAGAACTTAATCAGTTCCTATTATGTGACAGGCACTTTGCCTCCAGAAGGTTAAGCAGATGGAGAAAGTCAATAGGTATGTGAAAAGATTCAGTGGTTCCACAGAAAGGAAGTAATGTCAGAGCAAATGACAATCTTGAAAACAGATATGAAATAGGAAGAAATGTTAAAAACTAATTCGTTTTCACATTGAAATTGGAGAGGACATTGCATCAACCTCTTTTCAAAAGACAGAAAAATAATTTGAACAAAACTTTATTAGGAAAAACACGATTTTCAAATTAATGCAGTGTCTGTGAACTTGCAGATGAGATGCCAAAATTAAACCAGCACAAGAAAATTTACCAGAGCTCAGAGGGAAAATGTAATAATAAAAACTATGAGAGGTAAGGATAGAAGACATAGAGAATGGATCTAGAAAATTGATAATCAAATACAAGTTCCAGAAAATGATAACAGAACTGATAGGAGGTGCAACAAAGAAATAGAGGAAAATTTACTAAGTTGATGGAAAATTTTGAATTTAAAACAAATTCAACCCTCACATTTAAAGGGTTCATTAAATACCAGGTGGAAAATGAAAAAAATGTATTTATACATTATGAAAGCTTTGAATTTAAAAAATTAAAATATGTATTGATATGGAATAGTCTTCAAGATGTATTGTTAATTTTTTTTAACAAGCCAGTTGCAGAACAATATATAAAGTATGGTTCTGGGTGTAGCAAAACCATTTATTAGGTATGTAAATTTATCTATATAAATACATCAAAAAAGTTGTGGAAGAATACAAACCAAACTTTTTAAAGTGGTTATCTCTGTGGAAGAGAGTAGATTTAATGGTAGAGAGTGAAAGGACTATATATTTTCTATAATGTTTTAAATTCTTAGAGTAGGGATTTGGTCACATATTATGTAGATAACCCAATAAACAACAAAGCAAATTTGGGTAATGAGGGAGGAGGAATTCAATTTCTAAAAAAAAACAAAAATTGTACAAGTCATGTTTGCTGAGCACAAACTGGGAAAACTAGAAATGAATAACCACAAGTTGAAAAATTCTAACTGGAAATTTTTTTTAGAACAATTTTAAATAACTCAAGGTCAAAAAGTAAAACTAAGATTATGGATTCTTTAGAAATTTAGATTAATGCAAATATTGGATAATAAGACCTATGGAATATCATTAAGCAGTACTCAGGAAAATTTGTAACCGTAAGTGCTTTTATTAATTTTAAAAGAATGAAAATTAAGATAAGCATTCAAAAGAGTAGAAAAAAGGAAAATGGAAAAAAAATCAGAAATTAAGGGAAAAAGAACAGCACTTGATAAATGAACTCATTTTTCAGAAATAAAATAGACATTAAAATAGAAACATTTCTGGCAAAAAATAATGGGGAAAAAACAAAGGATATCCTCTTGTATATCTCATAAGTAATTCAAACTTAGCTCATCATATCTCTGATTTTCCCTAAAATATTTTACTTGTTTCTTTGCTTGTTATATCTCAATAAATTATACCACCATGTAAGTCAAAATCCAGGAATTATCCCTGAGACCTCTATCTGCCTCACTCCACACATTAAATCCCCACATGAGTCCAGTATCATTGGATACTGAATCCAATATCAATCTAATTCTATCTCTAATGGGCATCTGGAACTCATCATCTCAATAATCTCCCTTTCCTTTTCTCTTGAAAACTGCCCCTCTCAGTACTTTTCTTTCTCTTTCCTTTTTTTCTTTCATTTCCTCTTTCATTCATTTCATTTGCTCCCATTTTCCCCTCAGGTACAGAGATTGAAGCAATCATGTTATTTGGTTCACATTATCAACAAGGCTTTTCACATTTTATCTTTTTTCCCTTCATCCCAATTCCCACTCAGTTTCCTTCCCTCCTCTCTTAGGTAGTCACTCTAATGTGTTTGATGTATGTCCTAAGATATATGTGTATCTTTGAATAATATATAGTATTGTTTTTGTATGTGTTTTAAATGTACATAATTGATACTGTGTTATAGACTCATTCTGTTTCTTTTCCATGTTTCTGTAAGTACTTCTGACTATTGTATAGTACTGTCTTAAGTGACCTCACACCCTTGGCCACTGGTCCTGGGCCAAGATGGGCCAGACAGAATCCTTACTCAGAATTTTTTGAATTGAAAATGAAAGAAAATCCCTCTCCACTGTGGAAGCCACAAAATGTAAAACACAGGAGTTGTCAGCAGCCATGTGTCCTGCCACGTGGAACCAGCTGGTGTGAAATGAAAAAGAATGAAGCCAACGTGCAGAAAGCAGCAGAGGTGAGAAACAATGAGAAAGTCCCAGAAAACCTCAAGTCCTTGGTTCCAAGTGTACCTGAAGCTCCATATTCCTGCCCTTCCCATGGTTCAGCTCTTGCTGGGATTCCATTAACTAGTAAATCTCATCACCTCTATCTTGAGCCTAAGCCAGTTCTGTAGAACTGGGATTCTATCACTTGCAACCAAGAGGCCTAATTACAGTTTCCAAAATGCATCTCTTTGTGTGTGTGGTTTTTTTTTTAATTGTGGTAAAATATATTTCACATGAAACATACCATTGTAATCATCTTTAGTGTACAGTTCAGTGGTGTCAAGTACATTCACGCTGTACAACCAATCTCCAGAACTTTATTCATCTTACACAACTGAAACTATATCCATGAAACAACTGCCATTCCCTCTCACTCCACCCTCTGGCAACTACCATTCTATTTTGTCTATGAATCTGACTAGGTACCTCACAAATGGTACCTACATTTTTTGTTGACTTTTTGTGACTTGGCTTGTTTCACTGGGCAATATCCCCAAGATTCATCCATGTTAGCATGTGTCAGAATTTTCCTCTTCAAGGCTGGGTAATATGCCATTGTATGTATATACTACATTTTGTTTATTCATCTGCCGATAGCAACTTGGGTTGCTTCCACCTTTTGGCTGTTATGAATAATGCTGCTATTAATATAGGTGTACAAATACATCTTTGAATTCTTTGGGTATATGCCATAAGTGGAGTTGCTGCATCATATAGCAATTCTACTGTCAGTATTTTGAGGAACTACTATACTGTTTCTGTAGCAGTGCACCATTTTACATTTCCATCAACAGTGCACAAGGGCTCCAGTTTTCCACATACCTGCCAAATCCAGGAATTATCCCTGAGACCTCTATCTGCCTCACTCCACACATTAAATCCCCACATGAGTCCAGTATCATTGGATACTGAATCCAATATCAATCTAATTCTATCTCTAATGGGCATCTGGAACTCATCATCTCAATAATCTCCCTTTCCTCTTCTCTTGAAAACTGCCCCTCTCAGTACTTTTCTTTCTCTTTCCTTTTTTTCTTTCATTTCCTCTTTCATTCATTTCATTTGCTCCCATTTTCCCCTCAGGTACAGAGATTGAAGCAATCATGTTATTTGGTTCACATTATCAACAAGGCTTTTCACATTTTATCTTTTTTCCCTTCATCCCAATTCCCACTCAGTTTCCTTCCCTCCTCTCTTAGGTAGTCACTCTAATGTGTTTGATGTATGTCCTAAGATATATGTGTATCTTTGAATAATATATAGTATTGTTTTTGTATGTGTTTTAAATGTACATAATTGATACTGTGTTATAGACTCATTCTGTTTCTTTTCCATGTTTCTGTAAGTACTTCTGACTATTGTATAGTACTGTCTTAAGTGACCTCACACCCTTGGCCACTGGTCCTGGGCCAAGATGGGCCAGACAGAATCCTTACTCAGAATTTTTTGAATTGAAAATGAAAGAAAATCCCTCTCCACTGTGGAAGCCACAAAATGTAAAACACAGGAGTTGTCAGCAGCCATGTGTCCTGCCACGTGGAACCAGCTGGTGTGAAATGAAAAAGAATGAAGCCAACGTGCAGAAAGCAGCAGAGGTGAGAAACAATGAGAAAGTCCCAGAAAACCTCAAGTCCTTGGTTCCAAGTGTACCTGAAGCTCCATATTCCTGCCCTTCCCATGGTTCAGCTCTTGCTGGGATTCCATTAACTAGTAAATCTCATCACCTCTATCTTGAGCCTAAGCCAGTTCTGTAGAACTGGGATTCTATCACTTGCAACCAAGAGGCCTAATTACAGTTTCCAAAATGCATCTCTTTGTGTGTGTGGTTTTTTTTTTAATTGTGGTAAAATATATTTCACATGAAACATACCATTGTAATCATCTTTAGTGTACAGTTCAGTGGTGTCAAGTACATTCACGCTGTACAACCAATCTCCAGAACTTTATTCATCTTACACAACTGAAACTATATCCATGAAACAACTGCCATTCCCTCTCACTCCACCCTCTGGCAACTACCATTCTATTTTGTCTATGAATCTGACTAGGTACCTCACAAATGGTACCTACATTTTTTGTTGACTTTTTGTGACTTGGCTTGTTTCACTGGGCAATATCCCCAAGATTCATCCATGTTAGCATGTGTCAGAATTTTCCTCTTCAAGGCTGGGTAATATGCCATTGTATGTATATACTACATTTTGTTTATTCATCTGCCGATAGCAACTTGGGTTGCTTCCACCTTTTGGCTGTTATGAATAATGCTGCTATTAATATAGGTGTACAAATACATCTTTGAATTCTTTGGGTATATGCCATAAGTGGAGTTGCTGCATCATATAGCAATTCTACTGTCAGTATTTTGAGGAACTACTATACTGTTTCTGTAGCAGTGCACCATTTTACATTTCCATCAACAGTGCACAAGGGCTCCAGTTTTCCACATACCTGCCAAAACTTATTTTCTTTTTCTTGTTTTTTTTAATAGTAGCCATCCTAGCAGTTGTAAGGTGTTATCTTGGTTTTGATTTGCATTTCCCTAATGATAATGATGTTGAACATCTTTTCATGTGCCTGTTGGCCATTTGTGTATCTTCTTTGGAGAAATGTCTATTCAGGCCCTCTGCCAATTTTTTAATCAGGTTTTTCCAAAATATATCTTGAATGATTGTTTTTTCTACCCCCACTTTCACCATCCAAGCCCCTGTTGTCTTTCATGTGGACAACTGTAATACTTCTTAACAGGATTCCCTGTCCACTCTTACCTCTTTCCTCATCCTTTTCATTAACCACAGTGTAGCCAGAGTAATTTTCTGAAAATATTAATTCTAACATTCTCCCGTGGCATTCAGTTGCTCTTAAGAAAAAAATCGATGAGTCATGGTTCCTTATGATCTACACCATGCCAAACTTATCTCATCCCACTTCCCTTTGATCACTATTTTCAAACACATTAGCTGCCTTTTAGTTCCTGGAATATGCCAAACTCTTTTCCTCCTTAAAGCTTTCATACATATTATTCCCTCTACTTGAAACATTTTCCCCTCTACTCTGCCCATTCATATTATGGGTCATAACTTAAATTTCACTTTTCCATAGGCCTTTCTTAACCTCCTTTCCTGATCTAAATAAGGCCTCCCATTTAGTATTGTATCATAACACAATTTTCTAGTATCTGTCAATATTTGTAAGTACTTATTTTTGGATGATTTATTACATATCTCTCCACTAGATTATAAGCTTTATGAGAGCAGGGACAAGTCTGTCTCCAGACTGTATAGCATCTGACACATAGAAAGGGCTCAATATTTGTTGATTAAATGAAAACCACATATGAAGAATACTTAGAAATATTAATATGTACAGCTTTATACTAATAAATTTCAATTTTAAATTAGATGATTTTGCCAAAAAATATAAATTAATGAAATTAATTCAGGAGGAGGTGGCAAATTCACATAAACCAATAACTGAAGTCACTGCAAAAGTTACCAGAAATACATTTATAAGGTGAAGTATTGGCAGATAACATTATTATTTGGAGAATGAACTATAAAATTAGATCTAACAAGATAATACAGTAAAATATAAACATGATACACAAAAATTACTAGCTTTCATATCAGTAAGCAATTTAAAAATCTTTAAAAAAATACATCAAAAGATATATTGCACTTAGGTATGAATTTAATCAGGTCTATACAGAATACAAACTCTGAAAACTTTACTGAGAAACTTAAAAAGACTTTACTAAATTGAAAGACACCCATGTTGATGGGTGGGGCTACTCAGTATTTGTAAGTGTTAATTATGCCCCCAGTTCATTTCTACATTTTACAGTGGAATATCTGGCAACCTTGATAAAGGATTTCTAACATTCATTTGGGAGAACTGATGTATGAGAAAAGCCAATGAAAGAGTAATCAGGGAAGAATATATTAATATATGAAGAAGTGGAAAAGGAATTGGCAGTCTGATCTATCAAACAAAATATGAAGGCCAGAAAAGCCCCAAGCATTAGCAAACATTTTTTTCTAAATGTGGCATTTCAGAGGAAAAAAATGACTTAGTAGATGGCATGTTAAGAATTCACAAAAAAGTGACCAATACAGAAAAAAATGTTTAATCACTAGTAATTAAAGAGATGTGAATTCAAAATACCAGACATTTCCATTAAATTGTCAGAAAAATGATACAGCAAGGGTGAAGGAAATGGGCATTCCTTAGAAACTGCTATTCAATTTGTAGGAATCATTTTGGTAGTGGGTATCAGATGTCTTAGAAGGGTCATATCTTTTGATGCAAAATGACATTCGGAGTCTGCCCACATGTATGGAGATTTACAAAGATCTTGCAAGAAGGCTGTTCATTACATTATTTTATGGCCCTCCCCCTCCAAGAAAACAAATCTACATGTTCAATAGAACTATGTAGAACTGATATTTTTGTAAAAAAGTATCATTAAGCCATTTTAAAAGTTGCATAAATACATCTACCGATAAGCAAAGATTCATAGATAGTCATAATATTGCCTGAAAAAAAGCAAGTTACCAACTTGTCGAAAAAGTTCTGTCTGCATATATATATGTGAGCTTGAAAAGATAAACACCAGAGCTTAGGTAGAGCTTGTCTTTGGAGAGCAAGCAGACTAAATTATTTTTTTTTATTGAACATGCTTTGCTTTTGTTAATAAGGAAAACTAGAGAAACTTCATGTTTAAATGCTACAAAAAATAAGCATAATGTGATTTTGAAAATTTTAATTATGAAAACTTTGAAGAAACAACCAAATGGAATTGGAATAAACAAAATATTACCTTTCATTTTTAACTGTCATATAATAAATGCATATTTAGAAAACCAAAGGAAACATAGAAAATGAATCTATTAAGATGATAGGATTGTGGATTTGTTCCCTAGTTAAATTTTTTAAGTGATTTTTTAAAATAAAAATTTACAGATTTTGAACCCAATTCGTTTAAGTTTCACAATGGTAAAAAGCTAAGAGGCCAGTGACAGTGCCAAGAGATGGATGGTATCGGTGAAAGGGTGGGCTTTAAGCCTTCCATAATCACCACCAGTTACTTCCAGTAAAGCTTCACCAGGAAAAAAGCCTTGTATTTACTAAGAAACTCAGCTTCAAGACAACTTCCCTTCTATACAGAGTTTCTGGAGCCCCACAGTAGAGACAGTTCCTGTATTACCACAGGCCGTAGATCTCTTCCTAGTATGCATTTTTCTTTTTTTAGATTTTATTTTTTTAGAGCACTTTAAGATTCACAGCAAAATTAATGTGAAGATAGATTTCCCATATGCCCCCTGACCCCACACATGCATAGACTCCCCATTATCAACACTCCCCACCAAAGTAGTATGTTTGTTACAACACATTGATAGACCCACGGTCCATAGCTCACATTATGGTTCAGTCTTGGTGTACATTTTATGGGTCTGCAATAGGCATTTTCAGTATCTTTTCATTAAGCACGTTGTCTCAGGCTTTGCTTTAACCCCTTTCTTATTCCTGGGTTTCAGAACCATGTGTCCTCAGTACTGCATTTCCTTTGCTGATGTTGAAAAAGCTCATATCAACATTCGAGATTTTATCCATCTCACACCAGTGCTAAGCAGCTCCATTTTGAATAAAGTAACAGGTCGTAATCTTTTCTTCAAATGTGAACTCTTCCAGAAAACTGGATCTTTCAAGGTAACAATTCCTTTTGATATTGTATCATGTTATCTTTTCAAGCCCTTTTCACATACACACTTATTTGATCCTATTTTTATGGCTTAAAGGTTGTAGAAATTTTCATTTGATCAAGTCCTGGCTACTTAGCATCATGGTGTTGATGAGCCACTTTTACACAATCTCAAAATTCCTTTTAATTACGTGATCATATAATTAACTGTCCAGACACATGCTTGATAATGAAAGGGGGAACTCTGTGATAAAACCGAGACAATAGCCATCAACCTGTCATGGAAAGTGTGAACATCCTATATATAGTCAAGTTTAATCATTCACTTTGTCAATATGCTACTCACTGATACCTTATGAATGTGAAAGATCTAAACCTAGCTAAACCCTCATGTAAGATCTTTTTTTACAAAACATGTCAGTGCCTTTCCTATGCGTAGACGTCTGTGTATTGATTCATTACCAGAGATTTCTGACCATTAGTTGAACTTTAAGGTCCTTTACAGGTAAAAATCTAAAAGCTGCACTTAGCACTGTGATAGATATTAGTACCTGTTAAGTGGTAGTTTTAGGACTTCAAGGGTCTAATTTCCTCTGGCCATTAACTGAGAGATTTTAAACAAAACACTTTCTGTTCTTTTATCCTTTGATTTGCCATGGTTCATTCTTTATTCAGCATGTCAAGCACTATTTTTGCTAACCATACCAGGCACATATGCAATAGGCCTTACCCTATATCCACACTTACAAAAGACAGCCTGGTCAACAAATAGGTTGATGAAAATACAACAATAGGTTATATCTATTAAGAGTGATACAAATTACCGTGGAAGAACAGAGAATGAAGTGCTTGATTTTGCCTGGGAAATCAGGGAAGTTGAACCATGTGATGCTTGATCCAAGTTTTATGGAATGAATACTTTTAGTCAGATGAGGAAGTTGGGAAGGGAAGAACTACAGGTACAGACATGAGTATGCTCAGAGTTCAGGGTGCGACCTAACCTAGTAGGGAAACTAGAAGCAATTTAGGATGGCTACAGCAGTGATTGAAGTAGTGGATATATTTTCAAAAGGCTCCCAACTTGTAAGGAATTTTCTTACAAAAACAGGGAATGAAAAATACTGGTTTCTAAAAGATACAAAAAAACCTGGTTTCATAATCTAATGGAAATATTGGATGAGGATGATCCTTGAGGCAGGATCAATTGAGGTTTGGTAACACACAGGTTGAAAAATGTGGCCTCACCAACATAGTGGCAAAGATGCATGAGCTATTTAGGAAGCAGAACTGGTAAGATTTAGTGATAGACTGTATGTGCTGTCTTAGGAAGAGAAAAATCTAGAAAAGCTCCTTTAGTTTTTTGAAAAGCAACTTTTTAATCAAATACATGAATTTACTGTTCCTCTTTTCCAGATTCGTGGTGCCCTTAATGCAATTAGAGGCTTGATTACTCCCACTTCAGAAGAGAAGCCCAAAGCTTTTGTTACTCACAGCAGTGGAAACCATGGCCAGGCTCTTGCTTATGCTGCCCAATTAGAAGGTACTTGATTATTTTTTCGGGATATGGGGAAGGATCAGAGGAGTGTTAAATGATCCTTTCTTTCAGTAAGATTGGTAGTAGCCTTGGGAAGTAAATTTCTGAGTCCTTATCTTTTTACAAGCAAACTGAAGTTTCTATCCTAAACTTCCCTGATTTGTACTAAGTAAACATGTTTCTCCCTCCCAGGGATTCCTGCTTATATTGTGGTGCCCCAAACAGCTCCCAGCTGTAAAAAATTGGCAATACAAGCCTACGGAGCCTCTGTAGTATATAGTGAACAGAGTGATGAGGTAAGGAAGAGAGCGATATTCAGTATCACGTAACAGCTTTCACTGTCAAAATCAAATTTCTCTTCCATAGTGACTGCTCCTTCTCAGTCGTGTTTCCTCTTCATCTCTAACATTAACATTCCCAACCTTTTCTCTATCTTCACTCACTCAAATGATCTGTTTAAAATATCACCTATACTCCAGCCCCGACCTTTTCCCTTCCAACTTGTATACCCAACAGCCACCTGATATTCATATGGAGATGGCATTTCTAACTTCCTGTCTAAAACCAAACTCCTGATCTTATTCCCCAATACTGTACCTCTTCCAGTCTTCCCATCTCAGCAGACGACAACTTTCACCATTCTAGTTGCTCAAAAATAAGTTGGGAATCATCTTTGACAATTCTTTCATACTCCACATCCAAATCTTAGTTCTACTTTCAAAACATTTTGAAAATCCAATTACTTCCAGTAGCCTTTACCATCACCACCGATTCGAACCATCAGTTCCTAGATTCAGTAGCCTTACTGGTGTCTTTGTCTCAACCTTTGCCCCATGTCTGTTTTCAGAAGAGCAACCAGAGCTATCCACTTAGAACTTGTCTCATCACTCAACATCCTTTAAGTTTCCAATCTCATACACAGTGAAAATCTAAGTTCTTGCAATCACCTAACACCAAATGAACTGGCCCATTCCCATCTTTCTGAGATCATCTCCCACTAATACTCTCCCCCAACCCTTCCATGCCAACTGCAGGAACTTAGCATTTCTCAAAGGTCAATTATGCCTACTTTGTGGTCCTTGTACTTGCTGTTACTCTCTTCATAGAATATTCTGGAGATGCACAGGACTTGTTCAAACCTAGTAAAATGCCACTTTACCAGAGACCCTTTCTGAGCATCTTTATAACATTAGTTTTCCTCCATAGCCCTTAAACATACTAGTTACTTACTTATACCCCACCCCCTCCACGTATTAGAACATAACTCTGCTGAGTACAAGGGCTGTTTTCTTCACGATTGTATCACCACTAGTGCCCAAGGTCTGAAGAAAGTAGGTAACTAATAAAGTGTTAAATGACTGAATCTAACTTGTTGGGAACTCTGTCATATTAATTATTGCTAAATGAATATACTCTTTCAGTCCAGAGAAAATGTTACAAAAAGAATTATGGAAGAAACCAAAGGCATCCTGGTACACCCCAACCAGGAACCTGCAGTGATAGCTGGGCAAGGGACAATTGCCATGGAAGTGCTGAACCAGGTAAAAGCCTCCTTAGCTCTTGTTTAGCTCCTGGTAATGCTAATGTATGGTTGTAGAACCAATTATTTTATGTATATATATAAAACTGGTTATTAAAAGGCTTATTTATACTTCATATTCTTTTCACTAAAGGTTCCCTTGGTAGATGCACTGGTGGTACCTGTCGGAGGAGGAGGAATGGTTGCTGGAATAGCAATTACAGTTAAGGTGAGAAAACAGCTTCTGGAGGACTCCCCCATTTCAGGCCTAGAGGATTTTATTTTACATCACGGTACACTGCAGATACTGATTCAACATTACCCCCCAAAATGCTCAGTTCATTCCCATCATGTTTTCTAATTTTATTAAGGTATCATTGATATACACTTATGAAGGTTTCACAGAACAATGTGGTTTTTATATTCACCCTTATTACCGAGTCCCCCCCAATACCCCCATTGCAGTCACTATCCATCAGTGTAGTAAGATGTCACAGAGTCCCTACTTGTCTTCTCTGAGCTACACTGTCTTCCCGGTGACCCCACACACATCATGTGCACCAATCATGATACCCCACAATCCCCTTCTCCCTCCCTCCCCTCCCACCCTCCTCCACCCCTCCCCTTTGGTAACCACTAGTCCCTTCTTGGAGTCTGAGTCTGCTATTTTGTTCCTTCAGTTTTGCTTCACTGTTATTCTCCACAAATGAGTACTAGTCTTTTTTAAATCCATGACTTTACAGCACAAAGACAGTTGCAAGGAGTGGCATCCTCATAGTCTTTTCACTGAATTCCATCTCACTAACCTACTATCCAAGCCAGGGGCTACTCTTTTCCCCAAGTTGCCAGTAGAACCAGATGTTATCTAAGCAACTGAAGATCTGTACGAGGCATACAATTTAAAGTGCTTAAAAGTCGTATTTTCATTACATCTGTCAAAGGGAACTCTTACTTGGGCAGAAATATGTTACCTGTACTTCCTATTTAACTGCAGGCAAACAGGCAAAATGTGCTGTGGCTAGTTGTAAGATATCTAATATTCCTCTTCCCAGGCTCTGAGACCTAGTGTGAAGGTGTATGCTGCTGAACCCTTGAATGCAGATGACTGCTACCAGTCCAAACTGAAAGGGGAATTGACCCCTAATCCCTATCCTCCAGAAACCATAGCAGATGGTGTCAAATCCAGCATTGGCTTAAATACCTGGCCTATTATAAGGGACCTCGTGGATGAAGTCTTCACTGTCACAGAGGATGAAATTAAGGTGAGGCTCCAACAGCAAAGGAAGTAACAAAAGAACAGAGCAATTTCTTAGGCAAAAAAAATATTTCCTGTTTTAAGTAGCAACTCACCCACTGGGAATTTCACTAGGTGACTTCATTTGTAACAAGGATGCCCTTAGATACATTAACACACCCTCTCAACATAGAAACAGAGTTAATATTAAAGAAAAAAATACCCTGCTCTTCATTGGTAGGCACATACACACAGTAGTAAGAAAATCCAGATTGGGCATATGTCTTCATCTGGCTTTTAACTATAAAAGCCAACCAGGTGGGCTCCTTCCCCTTCCCCATTACACTAATTCTTACCCCCTTCCATACACAGTGTGCAACCCAGCTGGTGTGGGAGAGGATGAAACTGCTTATTGAACCGACAGCTGGTGTTGGAGTGGCTGCTGTGCTGTCTCAGCAGTTTCAAACAGTTTGCTCAGAAGTAAAGAACATTTGTATAGTGCTCAGTGGTGGAAATGTAGACTTAACCTCCTTAACTTGGGTGAAGCAAGCTGAAAGGCCAACTCCTTATGAAGCTGTTTCTGTTTAATTTATGCAAAAGGAGTGATAGGATTCAGTGTCTGCAGACACTTGGAAATTTTGTCTCCTAGTCACTGTCAACTCCCATCTAACCCTCTTAAACAGCTGTCAAAATCCTAACAGAGTGGATATTTCAGTAAGATTTAATAGTTTTTTGGATTAAATAGGAATAGAAGAACATCCATGCATAATTGAGACACCTTGTCAAGGCCACTCTTGCAGCAGAACTCTAGGCTAAAGTAGAAAATAAAAACTTCGCCCAAACACAACCTGTAGGCTCTCATCCCTAGAGGGCTAACTAGCAGCCTAAGACAGAATCCCATTGAATCCACTATTCCATTTCCATTTCTGACACTGTTGAAGAAATTTCACTTTTCACCCAAGGAACTGGTTCAGGTACATATGGATCATAAGTCCATTTGGGGAAAACTCGTTTATAGAGGTTCATCAGTACTGTGTCCTGAGATTTTAGCTTCCCGTCAAAACTGCACTTCATGTGGCCATGAGTACCTAACAAAGGAAACACAAGTTGGCCAAATTAAAATAGAGAATTTTAAAGCAGCAGTCTTCTAACCCAACAGTCATTTTGTAGCACCAAGGAAATCTAGACAAGGTCCCAAATCTCACATTCTCTTACCCAAAGGCTCCTTGATGTGTCCCCTGCGGCCCCACTTTGTTCTCAGTTCTACCGGTTTAAACCATAACACATCCTCTAGAATGAAACACATTAAACCAAGATAAAACATTTACCCACAAAATGTAGACCCAATCTTTATCCCACAAAGGCAATCAGATCCAATTTTTCATACCTACCTCTATTGAAGAACATGTAACGCACTACTGCCATCTTAGTAAAAATTTTGAAAGGATGACCACTTAGAACCACTCTCTTGATAACCATTCTGTTTGGATCCACTGACTGAAGATGGCCTGTGGCAATGAGGCTGTGCATTCCTACAGGGCAAAAGCAGAGCAGAAGTCTACAAGTCAAAGCCTTCATTTATTCCTCCAGTCCATTTGAAGACCTACATAAGAACTTCTAAGAGAAACCTTTAAGTAGGAACATACTATGCTGCCCTCCTGGGTCCATGGAAAAGCTCACTAAATGACAGCCCTGCTGAGCCTGTCCCCAGAACCTATCCTAAGTACAGCACTCAGAGCAGTTTCTACCAATTAGCTAAGGTTTGCAAGCAAGGCAAAACCCTGCCTTAGACCCGCTGTGAGGCTGAGTTTGGGATATTTTGAAAACCATCATTACATTCTTCATACCAACTAGCCCCAAATCTAAAAACAGTAAAGTGCTAAGCCTATTATAGACCTACAGGCCTGTTCACCTCTGAACTCAACTTACCATTGCTATTCTGTTTGAAAAGCAGCACGGATGCAGGAGGAAAAGTGATTGGGGCATATACTGTCACCACCAGGGCCACATCAGCAGTCAGGAATCTCTGAAATTTATGTTTATCCGCTGCCATAAGAGTTAAAAAATAAAAACCAAGAAAATTTTGAGAAACCGTAAGTAATTCAGAGGCCTGTCAAAAGCTGTCCCACTATAACTCTTAAACTTAAGGCAACTTCTGTTTCTTTACTTCAGTAAATCTCAAAACATTTTCCTGTCTCAAGACAACTAAAAAATAAAACCCAATTCTATCACAGTGATTTTTCAACTGGAGGCAGAATCTTGGAACTTTGACTATATTTGGGGTTTGAAAAAGTTCTCCAGGTGATTCTGATACCCATTACCCCTACCTCATTTGAGAATCAGAACTATATAGAAAATACCTCCACTAAATCAACAGATCTTAGTCTTGAGCAAGAATTGGCAAACATTTTCTATAGAGGGCTACAGAGTAAGTAAATATTTTAGGCTTTGTGGCCGGCCATACAGTCTCTGTTCCAAGTACTCTTTCACTGTAGCACAAAGATAGTCACACACCATACATTTTTAAAAAGCATGACTGTATTTCAACAAAACTTTAACAAAAACAAGTAGTGGGACAGACTGGCCCATGGGCCATACTTCGCTGACCTCTTGACCTTGAGAACTATATGGAACTTCTATTTCTACCTTCAATGAAGCCCTCCCAGTTTTCTACATGGCTAGTGAGAATATAAATTATCCAGAACACCCATTAATATTGCCTTTATCATCTTCCTCTGACCATTGCTGAGAGCTCAGTGTGTGTAGCTGATGTTCAGGAGCCCCCAAGCTAGTGCAAAACATTTTCCCAGTCCTAATGTGTAGGAGTACAATAATTTCTGCCATAGAAGTAGTATTCCTGGTCACCATTCTCTAAACCCTCATCCAATCTCAACATCTGAGAAGCCACACCCCTCTGTTCTACCCAACTGTGGGCTACCCCAGCCTTCACCCACACTGCCACTGGCACATCAGATGCCAAGGGGTTCCATACTTTGACACACAGTTTTGATTAAGGCACCAACTTCTTCTATTCAAAACCTTCTCTGGAACAAATACTCATGTCAGAGGAGCCTCAGCACCACCCAGAGGTTGCATCACTGGGATGCTTCAGACAGGTTCAGACATTTTTAATAAAAACATCACTGGCTCCTAAACCAGACTACTGAAAATATGTCTAGCCCACAGAGCCAGAGTTTGAAATAGTATATTCTGCACCCCACCAAAAGCCACAGTCCCCCAAAACACACTAATATGGACAAGAACGCAGAAACTTCCCCACGGCTTACCCACAGTGTGCTGAGAGAATAAAGGTGAGGCTCGAAAGCGCCTGAACCCACAGTGAAAGATCAGCTCTCCTTTAGCTTCGACAGGTTCAGTGTTGCCAATGTGCCGGCTCACCACCATATTCAGTACTGACATCTGGGGACCAAGTAAGAAAAACAAAACTTCCTACCTAGGAATAGAACAGCGTAACCTGAAAGAAGGCAAACCAAACTAGCAGATTCAGATTCACTCTAATACTAATTTATGGAGTACAGATGTTGAGACACAGATTCATCTTTTACCTTTGCCAACAACTGGCATTCAAGCCAAACTTAGGCTGGTTTTTCAGAGTTTTCATGTAGTCTTCTACACCAGCTGACCTTCCTGTGTCTAACATAAAGACAGTTCAACTTCTACCACAAAACGAAGGCCCTGAAGTCACTCACTCACCACACATCTCAAAATCGTACTCATTCAAGACACTTCTTTCCTCAGCTCCTACACTGATCAAAAGGCCAGAGCTCTCACATACACCCCAACCTACAGGACTGCCGGTCACCAAGAGAGAGAGATCTATGCCTTGGCATACATTTATATTCTTAAGGCTGCTAACCCGTGGTTATAATCTGATCTGACAAACAGCTAATCTCAGAGAAGTCTCAGAATGCACAGACATTTCATCAGAGATGCTTCAGACAGGTTCAGACATACTGGGTAAAACCATCATTGACTTCTCTATCATCCTCTCTGATCCCTAATCAATCCTAAAAAGCAGATTTTTCACACCCCAAAGAACAAAATGTCAGTCACATAAAATTTTCAGTCAGGCAAAACTGGCTGTCAAGTTTCTTAACTCCCTATTTCCCACAAGACACTTAACCTACCTTCTGTTCATGAGGTAGTAAAGAAAATGCAATCAAGGGTGCTCCTTGCCTGAAGAACTCAACCACTGAGACAGGGACCTCAGAGACATGAAGTGTGACATACCAGCCAACCTGCCAGAAGAAACCAGAAAACAATCACGCAATTACCCTTAAGGTCTCAAAAATGATGAAACATTTCCCTAAATATGTTAGAAGTCTCTCAGAGCACCTGAAAGCCCACCCTCAACCTTCAAAGTTATTATTCACAGATGCCTCTTCTACCCATTTTAAACTCTTTCAGTTAACATCTTTGATATCTCTGTTCCCAATATCAGTCTTATCAATGATTCAGTGCTCCTCTAATTCAGGTATGGGCAGCACAAAACAATGCCAAGAGGAGTAGTAGAGGGGGCAAGCAAAAGCAAATCATAGGGTGTACAAAGGAAGGCAGATACCTCAGCTCCTTCAACTTCTTCTTCAACCTCTTTAAAGATGCGTTTCCTAGTGTTAGTAAAGTTCTGAAACTGAAAAATCCGAGCATAATCTCGAGGAAGGTTTTCCTTAGGATCCCATGGAGATGTGCGGAAGCTCTTGAGGCCTCGGTATTTCTGAAATCTAGAACACAAAAGATTTTAAGGAAATTAAGTCAAATTTATATGGTGCTATTTACTCTTTCACTCAAATAACTTCTAAAATGACCAAGGTTCTAGCTTAAAAGAACTCTTACCACTATCTCTTAAAATAACCTAACAGCCTAAGTCAGGACCACACTCCAAATAGCATACAACAAATATTTCAGAACCAAAGCCCAGCTTCTCAGTGCAAAGGACAAATTATTTACAGTGGCTCCTTCGTGCCTATCAGGGAATGGTTCTTTAACTTGACAAACAAGGTCTTAGATAAAAGTCTTACCTCTTTCATACCCAACATAAACTCTGGTTTTATTCTGACTCAGCTCCAGAGTAGACATCATCATTTACATCTTCAGCCTTTCACTCTGACTGCTCTACCCAAACTCCCCCAAATCTCCAAATATTATATACTTTAGTTGCTTATTAGCTCCTAAAGGAAGGATTTGCTGATTAACTTAGTATTTCTCCCTAATTAAAGTACTGTAGCATTTTTAGTCTGTACAACACAATCTAGCATTTGATTGTATATTTCTGTTCCCTATATGTGATCTTATCTTCCTATCTATATAAATGTTACCTCTTCAGGAGGAGAGATTTCTTCTTCTGCATCACACTGTCATAGTTCCAAACCACTTACGTTTTAAATAAAAATACACTAATGATTTTAGACTTGTTGACTAACCGAATTCTAGCAGCCACGTCACGGGGGGTATCTACTTCATCTGGAAACATCTCTTCCAGTCTTTCTCGTTTATATTTCTCCAACATTTCCTCCTCAGCCTCTTCACCCACTTTCTCATCATACAGATCGTCAGGCACAGATTCTCCTACAGTCATACTTTCACATTCCTCCTCTTCCTCTTCACTACCCTCATCCTGTAGAATAAAGGATTACCATTTTAGAAGAAACCCACACCTGTCCTTACCCTAAAGACCATTAAGCTAAGAATAGTTTTACTAGATACCTAGTTCAAACCAGTATCACAATTCTAATAGAGACTAAGTTATAAAACAAAGTCTCATTCCTGGCAACTATAAATCATTCCTAAAGAAACTGACCACACCCATCTCTAAGGTCAGGATTGTACTCTGCCTTATATTTGGGGCTATACACAGAACAGGCCTAAGGGCCCATTTCCTTACCTGAGATTCCTCTTCCATAAAATCCTCATATTCTGTATCATCATTTTCATCTCCTTTCCCACCACTTTGGTCATCTTCATCCAAAATCCATTCAGCTTGGTAACTGGATGTTCCTTTGGGAACCTTCTTTACCACCTTGGAACTCTCCTTCAAGAAGTCTGTAAGAGCCCAAACACATTCAGTAAATGATATACTTCCTTTTCTCTATTACTCTGGGTATTCTCAGTTAGCCATTAGATACTGCTATCAACACTGAAAACTTCAGCAGACACTGGGTAGAATACATTACATCCAAATTTAATTCAGCTGCCTCAGAACTAGTGATACTTACACAGCTAGATACACCTTGCAATGAACCAAAAGTTATTTATCTGTTCATGAGAAAATAGTCACACAAGTAATTTTGAAAAACGGAGCAAAACTGTGTCCAATATTGGCTTAATACAAACATACAGCTTTTGTAGGTAAGAGGGAGAACAGACCTCCAGACATTCTTATCCCACTCTACTGTATAGGGTCCTCTCTGTGAGGAGCTAGACAAAATCCACAATTCCTGGCTGGATGAATTACAAACAAGTTTACCAATACCTACCATTTGCCTCACTAAGCTCTTCTTCAGTGGGCCAGGTTTGCTCCCCCTCCATTGGATCTGGGATAACCTCTCTTTGCAAAGATTCTTGTCTATCAGGGTCTGCCTTCACTAAGACCTTAAGGTCTTCCTCCATTTCAGCAACAGCATCCATAGCACCAGTCTAAAAATCAAAACAGTTGATGGTCAAACATTATCTAAAAACCTAAATATAACATAATAACCAGAAAAATCCAGAAATAACATAGTCCTTAAATAGAAGGAAATAGAATGAAACAAAGTCAAAACTTGTCAAGTTTTTCCAATGATTCTATTTCCTAGAATTTTAAGTCTATACTTCTGCTTGGTTCTTGGTCTTTCATAATCTAGTCCCACTCCTACCTATTTATTACATATTATTCCCATCAAGCTGATTTCTTCAGAGTTCAAAGAAACCCTCTGATCCATCACTGTGCCTGGGTTCATGCTGTCTTGTCTTCCGGGATAGTTTCATCTCTCTTCAACTCATAAATCACCCTTCATCGTTCTCAATACCTGGCTCAAGTCTGAACTCTTGTGTGAAGCTTACTACTTTTCAACTTCCACAGCAGGTCTATAACTCAACCACTTTGTCGATCTTTATTTCAGTGTCTACTTTTATTTTTTTTAAAACCTACTAAAGTTGTCCAAGTTAAGAGACCAAATCTGTGTCTTCTATAAACCCAGAGCCAATTGGTGTGAAAGGCACCTACAAAGTACTGGATGAACATGTGATGTATTAACAAATTTGTAGTTGACCATTCCCTTACTTTGAACTAGCAGTCACCTCCAGGGACTAGTAGTCTAAGCATACAGACTACCTTTTCTGAAGTTAATTCCCATCCTAGGCCAGCTTACACATGACTCTACAATACAATCTTTTAAGAATATCAATCTTACCTCCATTGCCATGCCTGGGTCCTTTTGGGATTTGATCACACTAGAATTTAAAGGGAAAGGGTCCACAGGAGCATCTATCTGTTTCATCTGGAAATCACCATGTCCAATGATATGCAGCAAGCTGTTTACATTCAGAGTCTGCCCACGAAGATAGCCAGAGATTTTCAAGGTGCCCACCAAGTTACTCTCTTCATTAGGCACAAAGTCAGCAGCATGAGCAAACAGATAGGTCCGCCGATCTCGAAAGGCAAGATGCCGTTGCTTTTGGTTAGCCAACTGCCTGAGCAGCATCCCTGCCTCCTGCTGAGTATCTAACAGGAGGAGTTTATCATTGGGAAAGCGCTTCTCCACTGCTTTACTAAGCTTCTTTCTGGCATCTACTTGTTTCTTCGGTGGGAGGCCAGAAACCCCCTGGACAGCTAGCGCTGTGAGCAAAGAAAAGGGCTTTGTGACCTGTTGCTTTACTACATAAAAATCCCCCCTGCGGTTCACAAACAAGCTAACAGTTCAGTTGTGGGCCCAGAGATTACAGTAAAACCAAATTTCATATTCTTCTTCTGCTGAGCAAAGGGCAGCGCAGAATTAAAAAGGCACCCTGGTAACAGAGAAAATTTAGGCCACACGTGTACAACCCACCATTAGCTGGCTATAACTTACCAGTTGTATTCCTGTATCAAATAGTGCCTGACAAATTATAAATGCATAATAAACATTAATTCACTTTCTTCCTCAGCTTCCAATATTCCCAACTCACTCACTGTAGGTGGGAAGACCCTGAGCAAAGAGGCAGGAAAGGCAGTAATCCCCAGTGCTGTCCCAGCCTTCCAGTGGATCAAGGAGGAAAAGGATGGTATCAGCCACTTTAGCCATGTCTAACACGATGTGCAGATCCCCTGGAGATAGAAAACAAAGACAGTAGAAGAGATGGATGGCACGAGCACATTATACTATGAAAAATTACTACTACTCAAAACACAGTGATAGAATTATTTTCTTGTATAATCTAACCTGGCTTTGCAGATGTGAAACACCACCGATGTTTCAAGTGGGGGCATAATAGCATAAAGGTATGTGGGCTTCCCCATTTCTTCAAGTGTACTGTTCCGATGTCCTTATCTTGAAGCAGCTGAAAGGCCTCTGGCAGGGAAATACTGCTGTGCAGGGGCACCACCAATACCTGGTGAGGAGGGCCATCCTTGCTGCCTAGCTGTCTCTTCTCTGCCAGAACCTCAGGATAGAAAGGATCAGAGAACATCTATTTCAGTACTTCGTTCTAGTATTGCATTTCTAAAGTATAGATGCCTCCCCAATTCCAACCAGCATTTCCCTTTTAAAAGGCGTTATGTATGCCAGGGGGTGAGCATGAGCTCGGACCAAAGCACAGATACACTCTGGCACTAGTCTAGACCTGCACGACTGCCAATGTGCTCTAGGATTTATTCTCCATCCCCGACCCCTTCCCAATGTCACATTTTCTAGTTCGAGATATTACCGGCCTAGACGGTTGTGAAGACACACCATCCCCCAATCCCCGCTTCTCTCACCGCCTCCTTCTTCTGCTTTCGGAGCTGGCTGGAGCGATGCCTCTGGTCCACTCGACTGAGTTCTTTTCTCACCTTCTTGCTTAGGGTCTTCAATGCTAGGCGGCCTGGAGGAAGATCAGAAAGGGCTCTTGCGCAGGGCACCAGATAGTCAAGAAAAGGGTCCCCTTTCCACCCACCTTCGAGCCTTTGCGGGGGTTCTAGGCCGGAGATAGCTCAGTCTGGGCCTGGAGAACAGCCGTTAATACTAACTAAATAGCCCTTCTTTCTCCAACCCTATATTCTCACTCTGGCCGTCCCGCTGCGCGGATCCCCGACCCCGATGCCGCCCGCCTTTGTGAGCTTTATTCTTCTGCTTGAGCGGGCCAGACCGGTGGGCCGCCATGCCGCAGCTCACGTGTACCAGTCAACACCACTTCCGGGCTGGCTGGGCGCTTCCGGTCCTCTCCTTGGGGGCGGGCGTGCCCTCCCCGGGGCGGGGCGGTGTTCCTCGCGTATATCGCGAGGGTCCTTCCCACCAGTCTGCGGCAGTGTGGTGCCCGTGTCTCTGCGAAACATCGTTTCAAACTTTTCCCACGCAGCGGTCTGCGGTTGGGGACCTTAAGGCGCCCTATGTAGACTCGAAGTCTGGGCTCTCAGTCCCGGAGAGCTGTTCTGCTTTCCTGTATTTTCATTTTTTGCGCTGTTAAGTTGCATAACTTAGGAAGATGCTGAATGGAAGGTTTTCCTTTCCTGGGGAAGATACAAGCAATCCCCTCTCACCTAGACTTGTGTATGCCGCTGTTCAGTTTGCAGCAGCAGGTGTTATTTATCACTTTGAGCGACCTTTTCTCTCTAGGCTAAACCGCGTGGAAGGCGCTTCTCTCAGCCTCACCGGCTCCGTAGGAATTCCCGTTGGTTCCCGTTATTCCAACCCGTACCCCTACTTCCCACTTAGCTAGAAAGAACGGACGGGAGGTGGCGACCCCTGCGGGAAGGGGAGGTCTGGCCTTGACACACGCCCCCAGGCCAGCCGAGCCTCTTTAGGCTCGAGGCGGCTACACTCCCACTCCTTTATCTACAAGCTTTGCAACTGAGGGCGACCGCCTAGCAGGGAGTTTTAGAGAAACCACGGAGCTCTGGCCTTTCTCTCAACCAGGGATTAACGCTGGCTTCCCTGCGGCCAGCCTCTAAACACAGGGAATCCCTATCCTTCCCATTGGCAAAACGAGCGAGTAGAAATTAGGGGGCGTCTAGTTGGGTTGAGGCCAGCTCTGGAGCGACCGACTTTCCCCTCAGTCGCGGGGTACCCGGTGCACCCCGCCTTCAGGCTCCGCCTGTGCTGGACAGGCAGCGAGTTCTCACAACGCCGGTTCGCGCCCTCGGGTCGGGAGCATGCGTGCTGCCATGACAGCGGTCGGCGTGGCGTGCGCCCCGGCCAGCCGCCCCCAGGCACGCGCAGCCTCCTCCCCGCCCCGACCCCCCCGTTGCTGAGCGCACTCCCCCACGCACCCAGCTGTGGGAAGGGGCCGGGCCAGCCGCCTGACGTCTGTGCGGGGCTCGGAAGATGGCTGCGGAGCCGAGCACCGGGCAGTGGTTGCGGCGGCGGCTGCAGGCGGGGAGCGCGGCAGCCGGGGGCTCCGCCTTGCGCGTGGGGCGCTGATCCGGGAGGCACCGAGGAGGCGAGGGCGCGCGGGGGGCTTCGGGGGCTGCTGGGCACCGTCTCCTATCTTGCCGCCGCACCATGGGCAGCGCGGAGGACGCAGTCAAAGAGAAACTGCTGTGGAACGTGAAAAAGGAGGTAAAGTCGGGCAAGGACCCCCTGGGGGCTCGCGTCCCTGCCCGTGCGGCCCAGGGGGCGGAAAAGTCCGCACCCATTCTCCGCGCGGGCGCTCGCTGGTAGAGGGCCTGGGCCCGGCGGAGGCAGGGTCCTGAACTGGCTGCGCCTCCCGCCCCTCTCCCGGATCATGAGCAGCACCCCTCGGGCCGAGGGGCCGGGCCGGATCTTGGGCGCTTGTTTGCTCTGCGATCCCGCAGCTCCCCGCCCAGTGACGGCAGCAAGTAGCCCTGGAACACGGAGGTCGGGGGAGGGGTGGCAGCGATTTTCTGGAGAACTGGAGTTGCCCATAGATTGCCCGCGCCTCCTGGGGAGGGGAGGGGCTCCGCGCGTACCTCCTACGGTGCTAAAAGGGCGATTTGGGGGTTAGCTCCGGTTTCCGCTACAGCCACTCCGGTATTCCTCTGGGAAATAAGTCGTGGCTGCGGGAGGGTTCGCAGCACACCTCATTGCTTTTCACTCCACGCCCACCTCCCTACCGAAACTAAGGTTGTTTCTGAAAGTGACTTTAAGACTCAGATATTTTTTTTTCCCATTTGTGGAGTCCCCCCCACCCCAATGTCAGAAAGAAAAAAGAGTCCTCTCTACTGAGTCCTTTACCTTGATCTTGCCCTAAAGCCCATTTCCATTTTATTATTGGAGGTGGGGGGTGCCCATATGAATGACTCACTCCCATGTGAGAGCTGGACAGCTCAAACTGCAGAGTGCATTAGAATGGATTAGGCCTCTGGAGTCATGAACTCCCACCTATCTTTGTGGCTGGCCTCTGCCAGATGTGTAAACTCCATGAGGGCAGGAAGCTGGTCTGTTTTGTCCACTATTCTGCATCCAGTGCTTGGCACACAGTGGACACTCAAAGACTATTTGATAAATAAATCTACAGATCCTGGAGACTTCAAGGTCCAGCGGGAATGCATAAACTTTGGAAGTCTGGATTTAGCTCCGTGTGACCTTGAGTAACTTAATCTCTCTGAGTCTCAATTTCTAAATCTATTCAATAGGTCATATATAAAAGTTGACCATATTGGTTCTTTGTCCCTTTCTAGAATTTCAGGAATTGAGAAGATTCTGGGTTCTCATAAAATCCTGGAAGGCTTAGATGGTTCATCTGCATTAACTGGCCTGGCTACTGTGCCCTAATTTGTTCCCTTCCCCCTGGTTGGCAAAGATGTGATTAACATCATCACCTTCCCAGTTATGTGTGAGAGGCTTCATCATGCCTTTCCTATGAAGTGGCCATGAAAGAGTTTTTTAGGCCAGGAATCTATCAAATAAGGCTTTAAACCTAAGAAATCTCAAATCTCAGTGATTATCCTCTATAAACAAGCAGTCTAGTGACAGAAACTTATATTAACAGTATAAACAAGAGCAAAAATGTAGCCATACCCAACCTATGGACAGATGTGCTAGGATTGTTGGTGTGATCCAAATTTGGGGGTGGTCATAATAGGAAAGATTTTTGAGAAGACAGTGATTTTTTTTTCGGTAATTAGAAGGTTGTCTGTAGTACTAAAAAAATGCTTCCTAAACAATTATGAGAAATGTCCACAATATGCCATAGCTATGTATATTACCTGACAAAGGTTGACCTGCTCTGAAATCTTAGTTCCCTCTCCTCTTAAGCGGTTGATTTAGAGAGAAGCATACGCTTTCCTCTCCTACAAGTAGAAATGGTGAGGATAATTGTAGGCAACTTTGGCCTTTCACAAAGGACCTCTAGTATAATTCTAGAAGCATCTGTAGGTCCTCCTAACTTCAAAATCTCCCCCCAGCCTGTTTAAGATGCTTTGAGTTGTAAAGTTATATATGCTCTGTTTAATGCAAACATCCCTTGGGAAGTAATCTAGGAAGCTTTTAACAGTTGAGAGTGCGATGTTGATCCAATTCCCCTTTACCTAACCACTAACAATGAGCAGTTTCCAGCAAGCAGGAGTCTCCAGGTCCTTCCTCACTCCTCTGCAGACTTCAGAAGCTTTACCACCCGCCAAACTGTGCAGTTCTAGGAGAGGGCCATGGGAACAAGAACAACATAGGACACTGCATGTCCTGCCCAAAGAATGGCAAAAGCATGCTGTGTCCAGAGTTTACTTTATCTGTAAGACTTTATGCTGTAGTTGATGTAATCCATCCCTCTAATTTCTTGGCAGTTCCCCTCAAGACATCAAAAGTGTTTGGCTTAAGTGTTCAGAGCAAGTAGAACTTCATACACTGTTGATGGGAGTATAAATTGTTATACTTCGGAGAACAATTTGGTGAAATATAGCAAAGCAGAGTATATCCATTAGAAATTCTTTGTGTAGAAATATAATCCAAAGAAATGAACACCTCTGTTCACCAAAAGCCACGTTTAGAATGTTCATAGCAGCACTATTTTTAACAGCCCCAAATTTTAAACAACCCAAATCCCAGCAAGTTGCAGTATGTTCACACAATGGAGAATGAACAGTCCACAATTACACACAACATGAGCAAATCTCACAATCACACTGGGAGGAAAAGAAAGTCACAAAACACCACACACTGAGTGATCCCATCTATAAAAATACAAAAACCTGTAAGACTACCCTTACGATGTTAGAAGTCAGGATAGCTGATAGTCTAAATAGTGACTGGAAGGAAACATGACAGAGTGAGGGGTGCTTTAGGGTACTTGTCACATATTTTGTTTCCTTATCTGGATGCTTGTCTCAAAGGTGTGTTCAGTTTGTAGAAATTCATTGAGCTGTATAATTATGATATACACCCCTTTCTATATGTTTGCTGTATATCAGTAAGAAAAGTTTTGTTTTAAAATACTTTCTTAAAGAAACAGAGATGTGACTGCTTACCTTACAAGGTATTTGGTAACTTTCACATCCAAGTAGGAACCCAAAACATTAGGATTTTACCTAGACAGAAAGAAAGCTGGGCTTGCAAGCATGTGGAGAGTTTCCCTGAGGCCTGGATGAACCTACCCCCAACCTTCAAGAAGAAGAAAAGGAAGGGCAGGTCATTTGCCTACAGCTGAACCCTGAAAGTTTGTCCCCAGAGGACAGTGTGTCTTCCCAGAAGCCCTTCTCCAGCTAAGGACAGATAAACAAACAGCATCCTGTCCCTGTTCTCCAGGGCAGGGCGCTTCCTCCTGGGTTGTCGGTTGGTGGGTCTATGGCATCCCTTCCTGGTGGCCTTTCCAAGATACTTGTCTGTGCTGAAGACACTTTGCTTCCCTACCCTTCCGTTCACTGTCATCCACTCTGCATGTGTCTGAACCCAGTCCAGGAGAGCAGAGCCAAGCTATTTACTTGTCCACAGGCCTTTGATCAGAAAAGTAAATAAATAATGATGCTACCCATTTATCCACAGGTAAAGCAAATCATGGAGGAGGCTGTCACCAGGAAATTTGTGCATGAAGATAGCAGCCACATCATTGCTCTGTGTGGTGAGTGAGTGCCTGGGGGTTAGTGGGAAGTGGGTTTAGAACTGAGGACACTGTCTTAGGGCCAGGGAAAGATGAGTTCTCAGGTTGAGTAGTTCTCAAATCTGGCTACAAAATAAAATCAACTCAGAAGTCTTTGAAATCTCCTTGGGCCCCCACCTGAGAGACCCAGGATCTCCAGGACCTAAGAATTTATGTATGTTTAGTTCCCCTGGTCAGTAGTCTTCAAATTTTAGAGTGCATCAGAGTCAATTGAAGGGCTCCTTAGAACAGCCCTGGAATTTTTTATTCTATTAGGTCTGAGATGAGATGAGAATTTGCATTTCTGACAAGTTCACAAATGATAATGCTGCTACTACTCAGGAACCACACTTGAGAACCTCTGCCCTAGGTAATTTGGCTTAGAGAACCTCTGCTCTGGTTTATCCTTATTTTAACTTTGGGGAAGGGCTTGTACATTTGAGGTGCTTTCTGTGCCACAGCTACTTTCTAATGAATCCCACCTGTGTTGCTCCAGCACCCCCAACTTACCAAGCACTTGATTGGATGCACAACAACATGAGTGTAGGATAGGAGGCATAGCCAAACCCTCCTGCCTTCGAAAGGGGAAAATCTGTGATAAACCATCACTTCCTCTCCTTTGTGGGAACAAGCCTATCTCTACACACAGCATAATTTTCTTGGATATCCAGGAATTTGAACTTCCTTTCAACTCCCTTTTTGAAGGGACAAAGACTTGTTTCCATCTTTATGTTGTTTTCCTTGGCCTCTGAGACTGGTGTTTGGGATTTGTGGCAGGGAGGTTGTATACCTCTGAGGGGGAAGAATGAAAGGAGCAGGTAGGGAAGGGGTGCTTTTTGACAGCAGCATGGTGAGGCAGATAGAGCTGCCCTTCCCAAGGGCCCAGCAACAAATACTAAGTAAGGGTCCACCAGGTGCTGGGTACTGTTTCTCCAGGTAGGGAAACAGTAGTCACAGCAGTGGGGACACAGAAAACAAATGCACACATAAATATGTCCTGTAATAACAGGTACAAGAACAGCTACGAAGAAAAATAAAACAGAGAGATGAAAGAGGGCGGTTGGGGACAGGCGGCCTGTGATTAGGGCCTGAGAGACAGGCTGAGGATTCAGGTGAATCCTGGTGCTCTGCGTACTTTTTGGATCTCTTGGACAAGTTTCTAAACTTCTCTTACCCTCAGTTTGCTCCTTTAAGAACAGGATGGTTATTCCCACCTCAAGAAATTTTTGTGGGGATTGAGATGATGTGTATGAATGCTCCTAACATTTTAAGAGCTCAGGAAATGTCTGTCTTTCCTTTTGCTATCGATTTTGAGGCTGAAGCTAGGTTTGCAGGAATAGAATTCCCACCATCTCCCTTTTGGGTAAGTCTTCCCAGTTCTTTGAGATGATATAATGATTTCCAGGTCTATAAGGAACAATCTGATCTTTTCTCAGGCAGAACCTATGCTAGGGAAAAAGCATGCTAGTCTTGTAGTAAGTGGCTTTGAAGAGTACTAGAACTCTTCTCCTTTCCACCTGTACTGTATTCCCCTGATATCAGCCTCTTGTCTCTCATTGTCATCAGAAGGGCTATGCTTGGTGCTAGGCTTCATCCAAAATACATGGCAAACACAGAATAGAATGGCACAAATAGCTTGTGCAGGGGTGCCACACGTGGGTGTCATGAGGGAAGGGGGGAAGAGAAGCAGGGAGAAAAGCTGTGGGCATCCCACACTTGGGCCAGTTTGGGTGAGAAGAAACTGTCAGTTCTCCTCTGATCAGTCCAGGGACTGCCAGGAAGCAGTGGGGCTTTTGCTTATGTCAGCTGCCTGGAAGCCCAGGCTCTCTCCACCATGCAGAGGGGTCACCCTCAAAAAGAATGATTATTTTACTTTCAGCCAGTTTCAGTTGCTAAAATAGAACAAGGGTCTGTGACACAGACCCAAGTCCTCAGGATTCTAAGGTTAACGTAGACCTTGTTGTTGGATCTTGGGAGTGCCTTAGGTCCATGAGGACAAAGTTAAATGCCTACAGGGCCAGATAGGACAGGTCCCTGTGGGAAGCTGTCTGGGTGTGAACAGGAAGCAGTGGTGGGGACTGGGGTGAGTCAGTTAATACTTGTCCTATTTGACTGGGGTGGCCACCACTCAGCTCCTGTAGGAATGCCAGCCCAGGCTTGCCATGGCCTTTGTTTTATTTTAAGAGAAGCCAGAGGTCTGGGTTTTTGTATGAAATTTTCCAATTTTTAAGTGCCAATAACTGATACCCATTTTAAAAAAATGGCGTGGACCAAACAAAAGGCATCTGTAGGCCTCTGCCAGTCTTCTGCCTCTGCCTTGAGCTCCCGCAGTCACTGAAGGGAATGTCAGTGGCAGGGGCTGCCAGCAGTAGAAAGCTGAGCTGAGTTAGGGCATCTCAGATCCATGGGAAATGGAATCCTTACACTTTGTCCACAGTGGTATTCAGTCGTAAGGTGAATCCTAATTTGAACTCAAAAAAAGATTGGATTAAAATGGTGATTATGAACCTTTTTTCCTGCCTGCAAGCATTTACATGCATCACTCAGTAGAATCATAATCAGGGAATCTTGGGAGGAGGCAGAAGGAAAAACAGACATGTATTGATGAAAAACTCACCCTCTCTGGCTTTTTTGGAGATTCTGATATGCCAGTTTCCTTCACCCCCAGAAAAAATGCTCAGAAATGCATTTTTAGTCTAAGAAGATGCATTCTTGTACTGGGTCTTGGTGTTTTCCTAGCCACGTCCAGAATTCAGCTTTGTTTTGGGGGAAATGGGAGCACAGAGAAGGTACTGAAAGATCAGGAGCTGAGTACAGGCTCTGGAGATGGGACTAACTGAAGAATGACCACATTCCCAAGAGCTTTGGGGAGCACTGGGGCCCTCAGCCCTTCTGCTCTGCTCTGACCCCTCTGTTCTTGGCAGGGGAGGGTTGTGGAGCAACTGAGGGCAGCAGGGCCTGGCCAAGATGAGCTTCTTGTAGCTTCTTTAGAACAGAGACATTTGAAACGAACAGGTCCTTCCTGGAGAGTTAAGAATCTCCAAGTCAAGACCTGGGGCAAACCCAGAAAAGTTGCACCATTCCCCCATTCCTCTTATCCATGGGGAGGAGTAAGACTTCCAGGACTGGTGAGAAATGTGTTCTTGTTGTATGTTTGCAGTGGTTCCTAAACCTGTCTGTCCAGGTAGAAGCCTTGTGAGGAAGCTTTGCTGGCAAACACTGCTGGCAGGGAGGGGTTCTCTATGTGCTGTTTTCAACCACAGCACGCAGCTGCAGTGCTGCTCTGGGCAGCCGCCTCCGAACCCGCAGGCCAGAGGATCAAGACCTGTGTGATGGCCCCCTCTGTCAGCCTGAAGCCTGGAGCAAACCCCACTGTGGGAGAGGGTTCTCTGATATCTCCTCTTTATCTTAAAAAGCCATGTCAGATTTGCATTTTGTTCCATAATATGGTCTTTAAAACTTTTAATATAGACTTAAAGTTTAATCAAATTATGCAGCTTGTTGTCCCTGTGCTTCTTGATTCTTCAGGTGTAGGCTGATCATTTCCTGCCATCATTTCCTGTCCCTTGGAGGACAAGGTGCTTTTGACTTTTGCTTGTGGGCAACTCCAGGTCAGGGTTAAACAGCAAATTATCCCAAGTTGCACCTTTGAAATCTGCAAATGTAATGATAATATATATGCTTACAGAGGGCACATTTGCTCTCTTTCCATGAAAGGGTCGGAGGTAACTTAGACATCAACCTTGAGCACTGGAGAAACCACCCTTCCCCTGGACCTACTCTGCCCTCTGGCTCAGGTCTGGGAGTGTCTGCCTCTACAGTATTTGTTTGCTCTATTCTTAATGGACGCTGAGGTTGGATTTCAACCTTTGGTAGGTATAGTGGTTTACGTGGCCCAGGGAGAGTTTCCTGGCCTGGCTCAGCAGGTTCTCAGTCTCTTAAATGTCTCCTCTCCCCTGGAGGCACTGGGGGCGGGGCTCAGGCCAGATTGGGCCAGCCCTAACCCTCAGTCACTAGGTTCCGGGCCCTCCCTGCACACATCTATCATCCTGAAGGTTGCTTCAGGCTGAGGATGAGCTGCAATGGGAGACAGGGGTGGAGTCTGTGGAGCTGGGAACAACGTCAGGGCTTTATTAACCCGCTCCCTGTTGCTAAGCAGCTTTCATTAGCCTGGAAGGTCCGCTCCCGTGAACTCCTCCGGGAAACGGCAAGGAGATGCTAATAAGCTAGGAGGGAAGCAGGTGCTATGGAAGGATTGCATCCCACCTGGGATATTGCAGCCAGAGATATTTGAGCATATTCTCCAATTCAGACTCCAGGCAATTTTTAGTCTGTCTCTTTTCAGTGAAAGGGATTCCTTCTCTCTTCTTCCCACCCACACTGAATGAACAGCATATTCTCTGGATATCTGGCTTCTGCCTTATATCCGGAAATGATAGAATAGGAAGGAAGGCGCTTTGGGGAACTGGCTCCCCTTGCCCTGCTGTGGGGCATGGCTCAGGGCATATGGTGGTGTTCTGTAGCTGAGACTTTTGGGTTGACAGACATGGGTCCACATCCTGGCCCAGTCACTAAATGTGGCCAGTTACTCATTAACTCTGAACCTACCCCAGAAGGTTGATGTGAGGATTAAAGAAGTGGTGCAGGTAGAGCACACAGCGTGGGGCCAATTATGCAGGTGGTGTTCCGTAACTGTTGCTGTCATCACCACCACCAGTCAGCTTTGTTCTTGAAAGTTAATCTTACAGCTTTCCCCGTCAAATGCCTCCTGGAACTGGACGCCATTTGGAAATCCATGTTTCTGGGAGTTTGAAGCATTAGGACAATCAGAAATTTGAACTCCAGGAACTCAGTCAGCACATTTAATACAAAGAAATTTTATTAATTTTAGGGGTACAATAAAGGTACTGTATTTTTTTAGAAATACATACTGAAATATTTATAGATAAAAATATATGATGTCAGAAATATGCTTCAAAATA